CGCAGTACCTGAGAGCGCAGTCTCACCAGTACCTGAGAGCGCAGACGCACTGGCACCTAGAGCAGCAGCCTCACAAGCACCTAGCGCAGCAGTACCAATGCCCGGGTCGGGCTGGAAACACCGGTAACCCTCATTCTCCTCACTATAAGTCACAGCATACATAGCAGCAAGGATAGCATCAAAATCAAGATCAAAGATCGCTACACCAGCCCTAAGAAGCTCATCCCAGCGAGGGATCTCACTAGCCCCAGGGAACTGCTGACGCCAAGCGTCCGTCAGGCGGCCAAAGCAGCGCTGGGTGGCGTGGGCACCCCCACACTGCTCACCCGCGCGGTCGCCGGAACGAAGAACGTAGGTGCAGGGACCAGTACCCCCACCCCTCTGACGCCCAGCGTACCACTCACGAAGCTGCTGAGGCGGAGGGATGTCCCGCGAGCGCTGCTGCTGCTGCCGCTGCGAGCGCTGGCCACCACCACCGCCGCTACGCTGCTGGGTACCACCCCGACCAGCTCCACCTCCTCCACCACCACCGCCTCCTCCGCTGCCGCCTCCACCGCCTCCACCTCCGCCGCCTCCACCTCCGCCGCTGCCTCCACCACCACCGCTGGCACCACCACCACCGTCTCCGCCGCTGCTGCCACCACCACCACCACCCCCGCCACTAGTCCCGCCGCCACCCCCACTCCCTCCGCCGCCACCGCCGCCACCGCCACCGCCCCCTCCAGCTCCACCCGCGCCCTTGCCCCCCTTGCCCTTGCTGGAGCGACGTCTCCCACTAGGGGTAGACGCCGCGCCGACCGACTCAAGACCAAGCAGGTCGGCAGCAGCAGCAGAGGCAACAGAGGGCAGCAAGGGGGAAGGAGAGCACCCCTCAAAGACGGGGGTGCGAGGGTCACCACGAGAAGCACCTACAGCGACTATGCTCTTCCCCGCTGCGAGTAGGGCCTTCTCGAGGAGGTCGACGGTGAGGGTGGTGGGACAGACTGCGAGAAAGTGGTCCTTGACGACGCGAAGGGAGTCAGGGAGGCGCGCGACTACGCAGTAGAGAGCGATGTACATGGGGGGTGGGTTCTTAGCACAGAACTCAGCAGGAAGGGCGGCGCGGTAGCGAGTGTCACTAGTGCGGAGGTGCGTAATGAGGTCAGCGACAGTGGGAAAGGCAGAGAGGTCAGGAAAGAGGTAGGGAAGCATGAGACGGCTCAGTGCAGCAGTGGCAGGGGAGGAGTAGCGCGCAACTACAGCGTCGTACAAGGTCTGAGCACTCTTGTACTGACTAAAGTGCGCACGCTCAGAGGTAGGGAGGTGGCGACGCACAGCAAGACGTGCAGCAGCATCGCGGGTGGCCCACTGAGAGCGGACAGTGGGATCAGCATCAGCAGCAGGAGCAGGAGAGGCGCCAGAGGTGAGGTCAAAGAGAGAAAGACTGTCAGCCCTGTCGCACTGTAAGAACAGCTGCAGGTCATCTAACCAGACCTCAAAATCAATGGCGCGACCCTCAGCGTCAAAAGCGAGGACACTAGGGGTAGCCATGGCGACGACAGCGACGCAGTGCAAGCAGTAGGGAAAGAGCTCGCAGTGACAGTGGGACTGTGCTCACCAGGCAGGGCAGGTCGTGCAGCTCTGCAGAAAGGCGGCTCGGCGACCGGGCGGCTCGGGTGCACAGCGGCTCGGTTCCCAGGCTGCTCGGCGGCTGGGCGGCTCGGGTGCAGGGCGGCTCGGCTCCCGGGCGGCTCGGCGGCTGGGCGGCTCGGGTGCAGGGCGGCTCGGCTCCCGGGCGGCTCGGCGGCAGGGCGGCTCGGGTGCAGGGCGGCTCGGCTCCCGGGCGGCTTGGCGGCAGGGTGGCTCGGGGGCAGGGCGGCTCGGCTCCCGGGGGGGGGGCTCGGCGACAGGGCGGCTCGGCTGCTGCAGGTGAGGCGGCAGGGCCGCGTGAAAGAACCGGGGCGGGGCCGCGTCAGAGCCGGCGGCAGGGCCGCGTGAGAGCAGAGGCGGGGCCGCTTCAGAGCTGGCGGCAGGGCCGCAAGAGAGCCGGCGGCGGGGCCGTCGGAGAGCCGAGGCAGGGGCCGCGTCAGGGCCAGCGGCGGGGCCGTAAGAGAGCCGGGGCGGGGCCGCAAGAGAGCCGGCGTTGGGGCCGCAAGAGAGCCGGGGCGGGGCCGCGTCAGGGCCGGCGGCGAGGCCGCTAGAGAGCCGAGGCGGGGCCGCGATCAGGAGGCGGCGGCGGGGCCGCGTCAGAGCCGGCGGCGGGGCCTCGTCGAGGCGGGCGGCGGGGCCGCGTTGGAGCCGGCGGCGAGGCCGGTTAAGAGCCGGCACCGGGGCCGCGTCAGGGCCAGCGGCGGGCCGCGATCAGCGGGCGGCGGGGCCGCGTCAGAGCCGGCGGCGGGGCCGCGTCAGAGCGGGCGGCGGGGCCGCGTCAGAGGAGGCGGCGGAGCCGCTGCAGAGGAGGCGGCGGGGCCGCGTCAAGCAGGGGTGACGGGGCCGCGTCAGAGGGACAGCGGGGCCGCGAGAGTAAGGCGACCCGAAGGGTCGCTAAAAAAAATGCGCGCCTCGGGGCGCGCTTCGGTGGGCCCTAAAAAAAACGGTCCTTAGGAAGGACCCGCTCTATACCATATGAAAGATAAGAAAACAGGAATGAAATGACTAAGGAAAGATTGGGTACAAATACAACCCTGGAAACCCTGTACCCCATATGTGCTACCCCACTATAGCCTACAGCAACTATGTCATATAAATCTGACACCTTCCGCCCTGCCGACCTGCCCGTGCCGTACGTTTTGCGAGGAAGCACGCTGATGTACAGCGCAGTCTCGTCGAAATTGAAAGTATCACGCGGGCGCACGCCAAGATGCATGAGAAGCTGAGGAAGCTTCTCCTTAGTGGTGCGCACTGCGTTCAGATCCTGGTCGGCCGCCTCGCCGACCGCGCTCATGCACCGTACTCCCTGGCGGCGCAGCGCACGGCGGACCCAGCCGATGGAGCAACGGAAAGTCGGCGGAGCGCCGTTCGCACGCGCCATCGTCGCAACATGGTCGCGAATAGTGGCGAGGGTGAGAGGGACGCCAGCGGGGCCTGCATTTGAAATCCAGCGTGCCATCGAGCGCTCCAGTTCGGGGTATGCCCCGCCGCGGACGCGAATGGCGTCCACGGCGTCATCAGGAACGTGCCATCGGTCGGCGCCTTTGAGAACGCGACCAATGGTCGAACGGTCGGGCCTCACACCAAAACGCGTGAAACACCAACGTGCGAGGTCCACGTGGCGCAGCAGAGGGTTTGCCTGTTGATGGGCACAAATGGCCCGCTTGATATGCAGCGCGAGCTGAGACCTATGGTAGAGACGAGGCATCTGGCGAGATTGTTAAGATAACTAAACATGAATTGCAGTGCTGGTTGTCGAGTGGATTTATGCTGGTGCAATGGCGCTAGGATTAGTCACTATGTCTCGAGAGTGTGCGAGGTTTCGCACTTGCTGCGAGATGCACATGCATCTCTCGCAGTTTCTAGAGATTATGAGACTGGGTAACCACATCCACGAATAGTGACGTGTGTTGTTTGCGGACTGTGAGGCTCACAAGGGGCATGTACCGAGCATTGGCAATGTACACGTCGGAGTTAACACACAAACACGAACTGTTAGGCGCACCTGGTTGATGCACAGGTGGCATGACGTAACATCAGTTTTGGGTGGCGACGTTTCACGAATTTGGTCCTTACATTTCGTAGCCTCTGTTTCTGACTTAAAAACAGGGACGGGGCCAACCGGCTGACGTTTGTCTTTTGCTGTGTTGCTCAGTTTGGGAGTATTCACCTGGTAGATGCAAGTGGTCTCAGGTGCTTATACCATAGGTGCAACACCAGGGCAAAAAACCCACGGGTGTAAGGTTTCCGAAATGTGCAGGGCTTTTTCGCGTGCAGGGGGTGGGCATCATGTGTACAGTAGATGCTGCAGCTCTGACACCCTGGTCACCTACTGTAGTGGGGCTATGGGCAGCAGGAATGTGGACTGATTCTGGTGCAGCCAGATGAATCCGGGGGTCCAACATTGGAAACCCTCAATGTAACAGAACTGACCGAAGCTCAGTCGCATCAGGGCGAGTACCTTAAAGCGTTTTACTTATGCTTAGTGAATGGAATAGAACTGTTGAATATAATAAAATTAACTCATCGCAAGCTTGCTATGCGTAGAACTTGAAGAACTTGTGCATGTCAATCCACTTTTGGAAATACCAAAACATTTTGAAAATCACTGGAATGTTTGGCGTCACAAACTCAGGACTCTGAGGGAGCGTTCCGGGCCATTGTCAAGCTTCGGGTCAAGTTACTTGGTGTCAGGCTCCCCAGGGTGGTCTGACACGAGATCACGATTTTTCCTCATGCGTGTCTATTCCACCTCGTGTCAAGCAGCCTGGCCCGAAGTTTGACACGGGCCAAGAACACCCCCTGACAGTGTGGCGCTTGTTTGTGATGACAGACAGGAATGTCAATTTCTAGGGCAATCATGGCAGATGCTTTGTGTCGACAGCCTACAGTGCTCGACGTTTCGTAATTCGTGTCTTCGTTGTCCAACTTTCGGCAGGACAGCATTCTTCCCTTTCACCACCGCTACACATACATTGTAGTTTCTCCAAAACCCGACAAGTAAAGCCACTGATTTTATGAAAAGCAGGCTGACAAAACTAGCTGCCCATGTGCGCAGTACACCTGATAGCCTTTTCGGACCAAATTTTCTTCAGGGTATTGTGTGTAAACCGGTACCTAAAACGGCATCGATTTTCAGAGAACCAGAGTGTTTTATTATTACTGAGCTTATTAAGAAAAAAACATGTCATATTTGCATCCTAAACAGAGCACTTCCCTTGCCTTATTTTGACTGGGTCTGGCAAGCAAATTCTTGCGCCCCTAGTCAGTCTATCTAGGCAATCATAGCCATTAATTCTTTTGTAGCAGTTCTTTATGCCCTTGTAGAACCTGAACTGAATCGCACTGCATCTGTTATTATCTGTTGCAATCTAGACCTCAGACAAGGGACACGAGCCGGATGACATGTCCATTCTCATTCTACCACACACCTGTAATGCAACAGGAACAACACAAGAGGGCATAGGTGAAAAGGAGATGCAATTGACCCGAGACTAAAAAGAAACTCGTGGGAGGTGCACGATTGAGAAACAATAGGGTAACACGAAAATCAGCCACTGATGCGCACTTGATGAGCTGGCCACACTACAATGTGTATGTATCCTTTCCTTGAACGCCACAGTCTTACCACTCCTCCAGGATATTGCAATGCATCTTAAACGCCACATCCTGCCAGATGCAAGGCCATCACACCCCACCATACCTCACATCCCACCGCACCGCACACACACCCCACTCTGCCGTACCTCGGACCCTGGGAATCCCGAGTCGGTGGAGGGTGGCAGCAGGCGGTGGCAGTAGATGCCGAGGTTCATGCGGTAGAGCTCCAGCGCACTCAGCGGCGGCTGCCTCCCCGCCACCAACAATGCACACGTCACGTTTCCCGCACTCTCCACCATTATAGACTCCTTGCACATGGGCATGAGAGGCGTGGCCCATTCCAGGCACATGGAGAGGCTGGTTGGGAGCTTCGTGATGGAGCAGTCGAGGCCCGGGTTGAGGCGGAGGAGGTCGGTGGTGCAGGGCTGGGAGGGGTCCGGGCAGGAGGCGGTGAGAGAGAAGAGGGCGGCGATGGACTCACACGTGTCGTTCTGGTGGGGTGCATGGGGAGGGAAGGGGGGAAAAGGGAGGAAAGGGAAGAAGGGGAAGGAAGGGAGGGAAAGGGGGGAAGGGAGAAGGGAGATGAAAAGGAAGGGGAAAGAGATAGTGATAAGAGGAAGGAGTGGGGGGTGAAGAACGTATAGGATGAGGAAGGGGAAGAAAGGGGATGGGGGTGACAAAAAGAGAATGTCAAGAGAAAGAAAATGCGGATGCAAGCAGGGTACAATTGCTTGCGAATGAAAAAGACTTCTGGGTCGCTAGAAAAGGCACAACACTGTGAATGTGAAAGTGAGGAAAATTGATGGAGGGCACGAGGTGACGAGGGGAGGAGGGGAAACGAGGGGAAGGAGGGAGAGGAGGGGAGGAGGGGAAGAGGGGAGAAGAGGAGGTAGCAAAGGAAACAGAGGTGGAGAGGGGGCGAGGGAGGAGAAGTGGTGCGGAACGCGAGGAAGCCAAGCAGAGAGTTCTTTAAAGTTCTGAAAAGTGACTCCGATTTAGTGACCTGACCTGGACCGTGGTGTAGGAGGCGGAGCAGGCCCTGACATCACCGTTGGGCTTCACACTCACCACCGTGCCCACTGGCAAGGGCACGTCGCACGACAGTCCCTGCAGGGGTGGGTGGGCAGGCGGAGGGAGAAGGTTGGAGCACGGAGGGCAGATGTCAGCCAATGAGGGCAGATGAGCATGGGTGCGTGAAGCAGAAGGCAGGGCGGGAGGGTTTGTACTTGCGTGCCTGGCCGAACCCAGCCCTTGATATCTCCTTCTCCCCCTCAACCTCTATCTCCTTCCCTGTCTCCCCCACTATCTCGCTATCGCTCTATCACTGTGTAGATGCCAGGGCATGCCCATTCCCGCACATCCCACTCACACGCGCTCCACTCTGCTCTCACTCACTCACCCCGTTCAGGTCCAGAAACTGGGCGAGTGTGAGGCCATAGATGGGGTGGATGTGGTGACACCACATTGTGGCCAGTGTCACACGGTAAAAACTCTTGCTGATGCCTGGGTGGGTGGGTTGTCGGGGGGGGAGAGGACGGGCAAAAAGGGATAGAGGAGGTAGAAGGAAAGAAAGATCGTGGGAGAGGCTAGGAATGTGAGTTAGGAGTGGGCACATTTCTTTGAGGCGCCTCAACAGAGGGTGGGAATACAGAGGCTGGGAATACAACGGCTGGGAATACAGAGGCTGGGAATACAGAGGCTGGGAATAGGGAGTCTGGAGTGAACACTATTTTTTTGGGAACAGGCTGCTGTTGAGGCACCTCAACTCTTGAAGCACGAGGAGCAGAGTGAAGTAAAGCAGGGAGCAGGGAACGGGACAGAGGGAGCAGGTTGCAGGAGGAGCAGGGAGGAGTTACCAGGTGCGCAGGAGGGGGCACCGAACTCTGAGGTGCCAAGATAGAAGTTGGGTGGGCACACACAGGTGTATGCACCGTAGCCGTCATTCACACACGTGCCCACGCCGCATGGGTTCCTGTCACCTGCACTGCACACATCTGTGCACGCCCGCAGACACATGCACTCTTGCACGCCCGCACACCCGCCCGTTGCTCACCCCCCGCCCGCATGCACGCACACACACACGCATGCACCCGCACGCAAACATTTGCACACGCACGCACGTACACACACACACACATACACACATACACACACACACACACATACACACACACACACACACACACACACACACACACACACACACACACACACACACACACACACACACACACACACACACACACACACACACACACACACACACACACACACACACACACACACACACACACACACACACACACACACACACACACACACACACACACACACACACACACACACACACACACACACACACACACACACACACACACACACACACACACACACACACACACACACACACACACACACACACACACACACACACACACACACACACACACACACACACACACACACACACACACACACACACACACACACACACACACACACACACACACACACACACACACACACACACACACACACACACACACACACACACACACCACACACACACACACACACACACACACACACACACACACACACACACACACACACACACACACACACACACACACACACACACACACACACACACACACACACACACACACACACACACACACACACACACACACACACACACACACACACACACACACACACACACACACACACACACACACACACACACACACACACACACACACACACACACACACACACACACACACACACACACACACACACACACACACACACACACACACACACACACACACACACACACACACACACACACACACACACACACACACACACACACACACACACACACACACACACACACACACACACACACACACACACACACACACACACACACACACACACACACACACACACACACACACACACACACACACACACACACACACACACACACACACACACACACACACACACACACACCACACACACACACACACACACACACACACACACACACACACACACACACACACACACACACACACACACACACACACACACACACACACACACACACACACACACACACACACACACACACACACACACACACACACACACACATATTCTCTTCGGCTCGTGTGCCATCGCATGGGCTCTAGCTGGAGGGCCTCGCGTGCAACATGATGTGAATCGTTCTCATTGAACAGTGTGCTGAGGCTGATGTAGTCCAACTTTTAGTAGGTTGATTCTAAGAAGCCTCACAATCAACCTAAATGTTGTGAATTATTCCTTTGAGAAGGGTGCCGTGCCGAGATGCCTATATTTGAGACACCTCAAGAATAGAGTGAACATGCTGAGAGTGTGCTGTCTTATCATTCACCAGTGTGCTGAGACGCCTATTAGCTTGCCAGCAAAGCAGAAGGATGATGGGCGAGAGTTGCCTCGAAAACACGACTAGACAAGACGACACAGTGCAGTGCAGTGCAGTGTGCTGCGGCCGTCAGTTGGGAAAAGCGTCGCGGCAGTGTTTAGTGCCGCAGCGTTGTATTGGGCAAGGCATAGGAACGTGCAGTGGGCTAAACTCCCAGAGAATGCGCTGGACCACAATATGCCCCAACTTCACAACACTCAACACTCAATGCCCAATGCTCATTGATAGATGCTCCCTCAGAAACTCACCAACTTCACAGCCTCCAGTCTTCCCTCCTAGCAGTTGCCCCCCTCCTCCTCCTCCTTCTCCGCCCCCTCCATCTCCTTCCTTAGGTACAAACTCATTGGTAAACACCTCGCCATCGCCACCACCATTGCCATCACCAGTGCCATCACCAGTAGCATCACCATTACTTGCAGACCCCATGGCTTGCCCAGGGCAGGAGGAGATGTCGGAGCGACAGTAGACACTGGAAGGAGACATGCGAGCGATGCCAGAGCAGGGGTCCGATGGGCCTGATGGGGTGGTGGAGAGGAGAGGAGGGTGAGAAGGTTTCAGTTGCGGAGAGCCTCAAACAGGGGGAGAGTGGATGGGCCAGCTGGTTGTTTGACGATCATGGATGCTGAAGATACAGATGGGCACACACACATGCACACCGGCACACCGGCACACTGCACACTGCACACAGGCACACATGCACACATGCACACCGGCACACTGCACACAGGCACACATGTCTGCAGCTCCCACCAGAGCACATGGTGGTCCTGCGGCACACACAAGACGGAAGAGGAGGAGGCGAAGGAGAGGAACACCGAGGGCCGCGACAGTGATGGTTTGAGCATGGAGTAGAGAGAAAGAGGCACGTCCAGTAATGGTCTGCCCGGCCGCACATCTCCTGCTGCTAGAAACACTTGCAGCCTCCCTGCCTTCGCCCCTCCTACTCCACCCTCCCTGCCGCTTCTGCAGCTGCTGTTTCTTGTGCTGCTGCCACCAGCACGAGCATCAGGTTCATACACGATCCACACATGCCGCGGCTCTCCACTATTCAGCACAATGCTGTCCGACGAAGCTGCGGCAATCGACCGGCTGCTCCCCCCCACGTTGACCCCCACGTGGTTGCTATGCGGGTCACCATTCCAGGTGTCCTTCCGCGTGTCTAGCTCCACTGCCACGCTCCTCTTGCCCATGCCCTTGTACCCCATGCCTGGCCCCCCTGTCGGCTCCGTGGCGCTTATCACAAAGGCTAGCCCGTCCCCTGCTGCTGCTGCTCCTACTCTTGCAGCTGCAGTGGAGGAGAGGAAGGGGAACGACACAGAGGAGGAGGAAGAGGAGGAGGAAGATTTGGCGTCGAGTTTACCGGAGTGGGAGGACATGGAGAAGGCGAAGGAGAAGTTGAATGCGAGCTGGCGGCCGCAGGAGTCCTGCGCGGACGACAAGGTGAAGAGCGTGACGAGCGGTAGCAGCGTCACGGCGCCCCACGCCTCGCGCACAGCCGGGCTCACCACAAGCTTATCCGAGGAGCTGTAAGGCGGAAGTGGAGGCGGGTCCTCACCCGGCTTGCCCGCATCTACCAGATCAGCAGTGCTGATGGCACTGGTGATGCTGACAGCGCCGGCATTGCTGGCAGTGGCGGCAATGCCGTCAGTGCTGCTGGCTACATTGGTAGTGTCTACCTTTGGAATCGGGTCGGGCGGCTGCGGCGACGGCACGAGCCCTGGCACATCCCCTCCCCCCACCAAGGAAGCATAGCCCTTGAGGCGCACGGAGGGCATGTCAGCGAGGGAGAGCACGAAGGAATCGGTGAGTGCCTCCGGCACGCAGGACCCCGGCAATGCACGGTTCACGTACCCCTCGTCACACACACACACGGGCTTCCCTGCCTTTCCCAGGCGGCATGTGCCCACGCCCGCGCAGGCTTCTGATCCGGGGAGGAGAGGCCGCAGAAGGCAAAGCAGGCAGAGAGGGGCCGCTGGGTGTGGCGCGCACAGCGGAAGGAGGAGGAGGGGGAGAAAGGGGGGGAGGAGGTGGGGGAAGGGAAGGAGAGGCAGTTGGAGCGGAGGGAGAGGGTGCTGGGGCAGTAGGAGAGCCTGGCTTCGCCGTAGAGGTAGTTGTTGTCTATGAGCAGCATGGTGAGGGATGGCGGCCAGTCGGACGGGAGAAAGTCGGAAATTTGGTTGTTGCGCAGGTTGCTGCATCCAGGGCGAGGGGCAGACATGGAGGGAGGGGCGGGAAGGGAGGATGGAAGGATGGAAGGAAAGGTGAGGGGAAGGAGAGGGTGGAGACGTCTTAAATGGGAGAGAAGATTGGATGAGAATGAAGTGAGATACCTGTTAAACTGACCCAGAGGGAACAAGTGGAACACACGAGTGGGACAAGAACCAGGAGTAAGAAACAACAGCAGCGGTACAAGATGTTTCGTCCTCCCCGTGCCCTTCTGAACCTTGCCTTCCTGCCCCATGCTCTTGCAGCAATGCCGTCTCCAGTGGTTGCTCACTGAGTGACTTTTGAGTCGACTGAAAAGTCACCTAGTCTTTCTCAGTGGTTGCTCGCTTTTGTAATGGAGGGGAATAAGAACGAGAGGAGGATTAGGAAGAGAATTGAGAAGAAGAGTGAGAAGAGAGGAGGGAAGAGGACTGACAGCAGCTGCAGGTCGGGCAGTTGGGTGAGGTAGAGGGAGATGGGACCGTACAGCCTGTTGGTGTTCAGGTCCTTGCTTGTGGTGCACATGCGCGCAACAATGCGAGGAAAACATGAGGACGAAAACACGGAAGGGAGACAGGCAGGGCATATGGCGCAAGAAGGCATGGATCAAGGAGCCAAGGCAAGGGGCATGAAGAGCCTCTCGTCTCTTTGCCTTTCGCCTCTCACTTGTCGCCTCTCACTTGTTGCCACGCAGCGCACGTGCAGAACCAGCCTGAAGATCGCCAGCACAACAAGCAGTCTCTCTCTCTCTCTCTCTCTCTCTCTCTCTCTCTCTCTCTCTCTCTCTCTCTCTCTCTCTCTCTCTCTCTCTCTCTCAAGCTGTCCTGCATTAATATGGTCCGTTAGGTACAGGCATGGCAAGCTAGCAGATTGGCTAGATAGAGACAAACATGCACCTAGACTAGCAATGCAAGCAACCAGACCACCAACGTGATGGCGGTGTGTGTTCGTTCCTGACCAGCCGCCTTTCCTAGTAAAGCCCTGTCAAGCATACCCCAGGCCAATGTCTCCCGAGCCCGCCGAAGGCCCCTCATGTCGGCTGCCGCCATTCCCCCACTGCTCAACCCCACCCCGAACTTCCCGCTGCCACTTCCCGCCCTCTCCCTGCTCCCCCCCATCCCCCCCTAGTTCCCTAGGCCGCTCTGGCCAGCATGAGGCACCCCTCATACTCATCCTCTAGTGTCTGCCAGAGATCCCCCAAGCTTGGCTCCCATGGGTCCCTAGCAGCCTGGGGGAACACTACTTCATCTGCAAGGTTCGACTTGTTCAAGAAAGTAGTTGCCTACGACCGCTGCAGCATGACCGACCACCGTTGCCTGTAATGCGCTGTGAGCCGTGCCGTTGTTGTGGTCAGCCTCCCCTGGCGGAACTTCTTCTTGGCCGTTGAGGTAGCCAGGAGGCGGAGGAACTGCTGCGTGTCCGTGCTGAGTGCCCCATACGTCTCCACCGCCAGCTCGAAGAAGCCGACATAGTCTGGGCGACCCTCGTAGAGACGGTGCTTTGTCTCCGACGCCTCCTCTGCCGCCCATCCTGGCGGCTTCCTGGCCAATGTGTCTCTGCGTTGAAGTACAGGGTCAATCACAGTGACATCCGTCACCCAGGTCTCATTGGACTCCTTGTCCTTGAAGGCCAGGTCCCCTCGCTTCCTCGCCGCTGGTGGGGAGAAGGCGGTTGTCTCGTGGAGGCACGTGTAGTCCGCTTCCCTCACCATTCTAAGTGCAGCAAACACCAACGCATTATGTGTCCTGACCACGTCCCCGCCGTAACCACATCGCAGGAGGTGGTTCGCCAAGCTCGTGTCCGTAATGTTGCAGTTGTTCCTTCCGCAGGGGCACCGCACAGTGACCGGTAGGGGCATGCCGAGCCGGAATCCTAGAGCCAACGAGAATTGACCAGGGGCGAATGTAAGGTCAGCTCTCGTGGGCACGGCATGCAGCCAGTCCCCCGCACCAACCCCTTGCAGGCTGACGAGGCGCACTACGTGTCCACGGTCTCTGCCGGGCCTATCAGTGATTGTGTCAGTCAGCAGCTCTAATGCCCGTGTCTCGTTGATGTGGTGGGACAGTGTCAGCGGCAGGTTGCCCTGTCCTACCGGCTGCTCCCTATATGTCTGTAGGGCTGTTCTTGCCGTTGCCGGCAGACCTGCCTCAAGAGCAGTCAGCAGGTTGACCCCGGGTGGTTCCGGTTGCCACCCATGGTCTAGCAGACTCGCTGCCCTGCTCAGGAGGTGTCCCTCGGGTAGGTTCATCTGCTTCAGGAGTTGCTGGGCTGCCGTTATGGACGCAATGTAGGCCACCGGGGCCTCCGAGGTCGGGTCAATAATGCCAAGTCCCCCCAGCCTGACTGGTAGTGTACCCTGGCGCCATAAGAGGCTCCGTTCCAGCTCACTACTTGGGACCCGCAGTTTCGCCGCTGCTAACGCTGTCGCCATCAGAGTCTCGCTCCACGCTCTCCATTCCTCCCGCTCCAGCACTTCCGCCGGTGTCGTACGTAGCAGGTAGGAGATTCTACGGCTGATGCTCCTCGAGAGGACGAGCATGGCATGCTGGGGGTGCAGCTGGGCGATCAGTGGCAGCGGCGCCGATGCGTCCTGGAGGCGTGCTTGGGCATGGGTGGTGCAGAATTCCGCCGTGCCTATCGGGCTCCCCAAAACGCCGATGCCCGCTGTGCTCATTAGCAGGCCCTCCGGTGGTGGCACCTCGTTCTCCCCTTCGACGGCCGCCCAGCCAGTCGGCTTCGCGATGTTGCAGCGGAGCCCCAGCCCTCTGAGCTCCCTCGTGATGTTCTTGAAGGCCTCATAGGCGGCATCTCGCGGCCCGACGATGGTGATGTCGTCGGCGTACGCGACGACTGTCACTCCAGGAAGCAGAGTCGCCGTGCTGAGCAATGTGGGCTGGATCGCTACTGCAAATAAGAGGGGGCCCAGCGGATCGCCTTGTCTCACTCCCCGCGCGCTCACGATATGGTCCACGTTGAGCCTGTGGTCCACGATAAGGCGTGACAGACCGTCATAGAGCGCGCGTACGAGTGGAAGGAGCGGCTTTAGGCTGGACTGCGAGAGTGCTCTGAAGAATGCCGCCCGCTCAACACTATTAAACGCGTTCTCGATATCTATCTATAGAGCTATGCGCTTCTCGTCCTCCGTTAGCAACGATTGAACCGAGTGGACGACGCATTCCGCCCCCCCCGGTACTGCTACGCCATACTGCACGGGGAGAAAGAACTCTCGAATTTCCTGAAGGTCCCGCTCCAACCCCGTTGGGGCAACGCTTGAGAATTTCGCGAAGATCGTCAGGGCTGACTCCCAGTGCCGTTTGGGTGTAGCCGGTTACACATGCGGGTGTTGACGAAACTGCAGCTGGATGCTTCGCTTGCAGGGCTGCGAGTGTTTCTGGTGTAGTGTCTGCAAGCGAGGTTGTTCGCATCGCAGCAACCGCCTTTGAAATATTGCCCTTTCGTATCAAACTCTCCACCCGTGCACAGACCCCCGCGTCATCAGCTTGGTGTCGTATCGGGTGGCCACTGTCGGGGATAACGCTTGCCTCCTCAAGAAGGCCCCTCCAGTTGCCTTGTTGGAATTGCTGCAGCCTCTCTTCAATCCTTGCCCAGCGTGACCCTTCGACTGGTTCGGGAGGCGGCCGAAGGGTCAGCCTCGGCAGGAATTGCAATATCGCCCATGCACCTGGACAGTGGGGATTTTTTGCGAGTCGGAGGAGTGGTGATAGGACACACAGGGTGTAACTCTGCAGGATTGTCGGCGGCATTCTGCGAACGAGAAAGGGCTGGTCCCCCCGCTGGAGCTTAGCGACGTCCCAGGTGGCAGCATCTTGCCACATTGCGTCGTTCGCAGCCAGCTCTGCTGGTGACACGGCGTTTGATTCTCTCACGCCCTCTCTACCACTCCCACCACCTTCTGTCTCGACTGGCGCAAGTGTCCCAGTCCCCGTGTCACCTCTCCTCCGAGGCCCTCCTGCCGTGTCTCCTTCCTCCCCTAGCGATACATCCTCCAAGGCAGGATACTCTGAGGGGATAAAATCCTCCCCGTCATCTGGGTTGTCAGAGTCCCTGACCTCCTGATTTGCTGGAGTTACTTCCATTTTTGGCCGATCGTGGCGTTCCTGCGAGAGGAATTGGGGGGGGAAAAGGGTTGAACAAAGGGGAATAGAGAGTAAACAGGGTGGAAAGATGGGTGAGTACAGGGGGAAAGAGAGTGACCAGAGGGGGAGAGAGTGAACAAGGGGTAAGGGAGTGAGCAAGGGATTTTAGGTGCGAGCACAGGGGGAAATAGACTGAGCAGGGGGGAAATGGGTGAGAAAGGGGGAAAGAGGGATGAGAACAGGGGGAAAGAAAGTGAGCAGGGGGGAAGAGAGTGAGCAGGGGGGAAGAGAGTGAACAGGGAGGGAGAGAGTGAGTATAGGAGTGAGCCGGGAAAACGGGGGCGAGCAGAGGGGGTAAGAGAGCGTGAAGGGGGGGAGGTGAAGGCGACGGGAGGGGGAAGCGAAGGCGACGGGGAGGGGGAAATGAAGGCGACGGGGAGGGGGAAATGAAGGCGACAGGAGGGGGAAGTGAAGGCGACGGGAGGGGGAAGTGAAGGCGACGGGAGGGGGAAGTGAAGGCGACGAGAGGGGGAAGTGAAGGCGACGGGAAGGGGAAGTGAAGGCGACGGGAGGGGGAAGTGAAGGCGACGGGAAGGGGAAGTGAAGGCGACGGGAGGGGGAAGTGAAGGCGAATGGAGGGGGAAGTGAAGGCGACGAGAGGGGGAAGTGAAGGCGACGGGAAGGGGAAGTGAAGGCGACGGGAGGGGGAAGTGAAGGCGACGGGAAGGGGAAGTGAAGGCGACGGGAGGGGGAAATGAAGGAGACGAGAGGGGGAAGTGAAGGCGACGGGAAGGGGAAGTGAAGGCGACGGGAGGGGGAAATGAAGGAGACGGGAGGGGAAGTGAAGGCGACGGGGAGGGGGAAATGAAGGAGACGGGAGGGGGAAGTGAAGGCGACGGGAGGGGGAAATGAAGGAGACGGGAGGGGAAGTGAAGGCGACGGGGAGGGGGAAATGAAGGCGACGGGAGGGGGAAGTGAAGGCGACGGGAGGGGGAAGTGAAGGCGAGAGGAGGGGGAAGTGAAGGCGACGGGAGGGGGAAGTGAAGGGGACGGGAGGGGGAAGTGAAGGCGACGAGAGGGGGAAGTGAAGGCGACGGGAAGGGGAAGTGAAGGCGACGGGAGGGGGAAGTGAAGGCGACGGGAAGGGGAAGTGAAGGCGACGAGAGGGGGAAATGAAGGAGACGGGAGGGGAAGTGAAGGCGACGGGGAGGGGGAAATGAAGGCGACGGGAGGGGGAAGTGAAGGCGAGGGGAGGGGGAAGTGAAGGCGACGGGAGGGGGAAGTGAAGGCGACGAGAGGGGGAAGTGAAGGCGACGGAAGGGGGGGGAAGGGGGGGGGGGGGGGGGAGTGAAGGCGACGAGGGGGAAGTGAAGGCGACGGGCGGAGAGAAGGCGACGGGCAGGGGTCGCGAACGCGACGAGCTGCGGAAGCGATGACGACGACGCGGGCGACAGAGAGCGGAAGCGTGGGACCTATGGAAATGAAAGCGAGGGCGAGGGGAGGGTCATGCTTGGGCGAACGGGTGCGATTCGATTTTCGCCGCGAGTTTACGCTATGCAGTAGTTGCACAATAAAATGCATTTCGACACAAAAATCTTCACCCAGCGAGCACTAGCTTTGCGCGTCATCATCAAAATCCGCGCCACCCACATCGTAAGGCGCATCTGATCCCTTTTGAGTGAACGCCGACGCCCTGCCCTGTCTACAGGTATGGTCTATGCCTATTACTCTGCGTGCTATCTCAAACTGTGCACAGTTTGGTCTGCACGTGCTTTTCTGGTTGTGGGAAGGACCCCACCCATCATGGGAAGCGAGAAACTTTTGTCGCAAATTGGTTTCGCGAGTGAAAGTCTCTCGCAACCCAACCGAACCTCTCCGTGCCTGCCTCCCGAACCTAGTTTTTAGCATTGAATTCCGTTGAGTAATTCAGGTCTTGGGCTTTAAGGGTAGTCACCCGCAGGACTTGGCGCAGGCGAAGGCATAGATGACGCGACACAACACGAAGTGAAGGTCTCGCAACGTGTGGTACTGTAGACCAGATCCGTAATTGTCAGGTGCAGCAAGGGCGACGACGACAGCTGGCCGAAGCCCTCAGGTGTAGGTGCAGTAGGAGCTTGCTGCCAGAATGAACATGGGGGTTTGACTGCAAGGAAGGTCCCACTCTTCGGCGCCATACCTCCACACATTCTCACACACGTGTGGCCCGTCCTCTCTCCTCTACTCCCTCTCCCTCTCCTAAAATCTACGGGTACACCCTGTTTCGCGCTACATACACTTCGGATTTATGAACCAGACGGTTTGTAGAATACCATTGTAGGATCAGGTTCCTGGTTCAAACCCCCAGTGCTGGCGAGTTCTGCCAGCCCCCCAGAAAGGGGTTTTACAGCTCATTTGGGAGAGGATATAACTCAACCTCATTCAACCAGCAAGACGTCTAAACAAGTGGGTAGGCGGATTATGATTGGAAGCCGGGTTAATACCAAATGAGGTTTCCTCTACAACCTTTACCAGGAAAACCCCTGTAGGTGCTACCCACACCTGGATGTCAGTCATAATCCGCCTCCCCAATTATTTTTACTTGCTAGGTGAACGAGGTTGAGGTATATCCAATCTCAAAATGAGCGCGTGCGAACCCCCGTCTGAGAGGCTGACAGAATACGTCGGCTGACGGAATACGTCGGAACCTTACTCATCCAAAGTGACGCAGCCAACAAGGTCTCTCCTTAATCTACGATGCATTACATGCACTTCGGTTTTATGCGCCTGATGCTTCATAAAATACCAACGTACATAGCAACGATAATTCTCCTATAAACCGTTATTTGCTATTCGTCTGGTGTGCATTTGAACAACAGAAAGGGATGCTTCCTTGATTGACAGAATATGTCGGCCGACAAAATACGTTGGAACCTCAATCGAAAGTGACGCAGCCAACTAGGCCTCTCCTTACATGCACTTCGGTTTTATGCACCTGATGCTTCGTAGAATTCCAACGTACATGACAACGATAGCTCTCCTACAAATCGTTCTTTGCCATTTGTCTGGTGTGCATTGGTACAACAGAAGGGATGCTTCCCTGATTGACCTTGCTGTGCCTACGGTTTGGTTCGTTTGAGAGGCTGTCAGAATATGTCGGCTGACAGAGTACGTCGGAACCTCAATCGAAAGTGACGCAGCCAACTAGGCCTCTCCTTAATCAACGATGCATTACATGCACTTCGGTTTTATGCACCTGATGCTTCATAGAATTCCATCGTACATGACTGTCATAACATTATAGCTTATACTTTTGTGTAGGCTGTAGTGGGGTATCCCATAGGGGGTACAACCCAATTAGGGTTAGTACTTGTACCCACTTCATTCATAGTTCATTCATTCTCGTTTCTATTCCCACATGGTATCGAGCAGGTTCCCTCGTGGGAACTGTTCTTAGGGCCCACTACAGTCGAAATGTTTTTCCTGCCCGGAGCGCGCCTCGCTAAGGCCTCCTTCGGCCCCGTCGCGTCGCCCCTAGCGACCTCCCTTCCGCCGCCCTTGCTCGGCCGTCGCCGCCCTTAGCGACCCGTCGCCACCCTACGCGGCCCGGCGCCGCCCTTTCGCCGCCCGTCCCGACCCGTCGCCGCCCGTGCGCTGCCCACCCCGGCCCGTCGCCACCCGTGCGCTGCCCACCCCGGCCCGTCGCCTGCACGTCCTGGCTCGTCGCCGCCCGTGCGCCGCCTGTTCCGGCCCGTCGCCGCCCGTACCAGCCCGTGCGCCGCCTGTCCCGGCCCGTCGCCGCCCGTACCGGCCCGTCGCCGCCCTTCGCGGCGTCGCGTGCCGCCCCTACCCGCGGCTCTGCCGCCTTACCTGCGGCCCCACCACCCTACCGTGGCTCCGCCGTCTTACCCTACCTGCGGCCCCGCCGCCCTACCTGCGGCCCCGCCACCCTACCTGCGGCCCTGCCGCCCTAACTGCGGCCCCGCCGCCTTTACAATCGGCCCCGTCACCTGCTGCAGCGCCGCCCGCCACCCGAGCCGCCCGAGCCGTTTCACCTGGCCGAGCAACCGACCGCCGCGCCGCCCTGCAGCAGCACAACCGAGCCGCCCAGCGGCAGAGCAGCCGAGCCGCCCAGCGGCCGAGCCGCCCAGCAGCCGAGCCGCCCAGCAGCCAAGCCGCCCAGCAGCTGAGCCGCCCAGCAGCAGAGCCGCCAAGCCGCCGAGCCGCCCAGCAGCTGAGCCGCCGACCAGCCCAGCCGCCGAGCCACCGAGCCGCCCTACTTCCGGACCGCCCGAGCTGCCCAGTCTGGTGAGCACAGCGCCTCTTTCACTGCACTGCCCTCACCCTACTGTTTGCACTGCTAGTCGTCTGTAGTCATGGCTACCCCTAGTGTCCTCGATTTTGACGCTGAGGGTCGGGCCATTGACTTTGAGGTCTGGGTTGATGACCTGCAGCTGTTCTTACAGTGCGATAGGGCAGACGGCCTCTCTCTCTTTGACCTTACCTCTGGCGCTTCCCCTGCCCCTGCTGCTGATGCTGTTGCCACTGTTCGCTCCCAATGGGCCACGCGCGACGCTGCTGCACGTCTTGCTGTGCGTCGCCACCTCCCTACCTCCGAGCGTGCGCACTTTAGTCAGTACAAGAGTGCTCAGACCTTGTACGATGCTGTAGTCGCGCGCTACTCCTCCCCTGCCACTGCTGCACTGAGCCATCTCATGCTACCGTACCTCTTCCCTGACCTTGCTGCCTTTCCCACAGTAGCTAACCTCATTACGCACCTCCGCACTAGTGACACTCGCTACCGCGCTGCGCTTCCTGCTGACTTCTGCGCCAAGAACCCCCCCCCCCATGTACATCACTCTCTACTACATAGTCACCCGCCTCCCTGACTCCCTTCGCGTAGTCAGGGACCACTTCCTCTCAGTCTGTCCCACCACACTCACTGTTGACCTCCTCGAGAAGGCCCTCCTAGTGATAGAGAAGAGCATAGTCGCTGTAGGAGCCTCTCGAGGTGACCCGCGCAC